AGGATTTGTGAAATTTTTGGAGAAAATTTGGGGATTGAATTCAGTAATAAATTAGGAATACTTCCCAGGCTTAGATTTTAAATTGGAAAATGTTTCAGTACATTTTTAATATTCACCCTTCTCTTTGAGGTGAGTATTATAGATCCCTGAAGTTGGGAACTAACTTGGTGATATCCTTAAGGCTTTGGGGTGCCTTGGGTCTTGGAAATACATAGAATATTTAGTATCCTATCAGTTTCTTTAAAGAAAAGATCATGTGGTTCTGAAGACCCCGAGATAGTTGAAAATTTCTAATCAAACGGATGGATGGATAAATAATATGTGATATGAGAAAATAAAAAGGTTATCCAAGGAAAAAAAATAGTTACATATATTTCCATAAGATAAAGACAGGTACTGGTGAGAAAAAATAAGAAGAAAAGAAAACAGAACCAACATGCCTAGATCAATTATCTGAACCTAGCATTTTAACTAAAGTTCGACATCTTTAATTAAAATCCTTGTATTGCACTAATAACTTTACATGTTCATCTTATTGATTTCAGCTATTTCCCATTTCTCTCCCACTTGATAGATTTATAATTCCATGTAATGGAGAACTAAAGAAAACATTTACAGTGATTAATTACATGCAACTGTGTAACCAAACTAAGTAATCCAACCATTTTCATAAATTTACCTGGAAACCTTAGAAGGCAAACTAAGAGGTATCAATTTCTATTTTCTGTCATTCTCATGGCATTGGAGAACAGACAGATTTAAATACCAAGTAAGTTACTTCAAATAGTTATGACCTGGCCCATCCTGTGCATCAGCAGGGCACATGTGATTGTTGTATGATCATTAATACATAGGGACAGCACATCTAACTTGTAACAGAAAGGTTTCAGGTATGCGCATACATGTCTATGTCTGTGCCTGTGTACATATACATAGAGAGAGAAAGCAATTCTGAGTAATGTGTTATTATGGAGTTGTTGTTGTTATTCTATTATTTCTATTTAGGCACCACCTGGCTTACAACATAACCGATAGAATGAAATATAGTATGAATAAGGAAAAAAAGAAGACGATAAATAAAGAACAAGTAAAAATAGAGAACAAAATGGGGAAACCATCCAAAAATGCAGAAAACCTCTGCAAACACTTTATTTTTGCACTTTAGGCACAGAGTAAACATAAATAGGACCCAGGTAGCAGGAGCAGATCTGAGTGAGCAGTAAGATGTCAAAATACAGAAAGTAGATTTAGCTATCTAAGGAAAAGAAGGATTACTGGAATAGCAGATACTCATTCTATCAAAAACTGGTTGCCCAGGTGCTCCCAGAGAGATGAGAGAAAGCAGGATGTTGAAACGGGCTCACTATGTTTAGCATTACTGTTGCCATTGCTGTCACGGTTCTTAGAGATTAATGAAATAGCTGGGGGAATAGAGATGGACATACATGCCAGCCTTTTTTTATTTGTTCTAGCCAGAAGTAAGTCAACATGTGTAAATCACAGTAGTTAGCCATGCTAATTATCTATCTTAATGTTCTCAAGCACTTCTACAGTGAAAAGAACTCTGCCAATGGATGCCAAGCAGCAAACATTAAATAGGTGGAAGTCTTACAAAGAAGATGAGTGGGAAAAAAAATGATTCTTAGGTGTAGTAATTTTTATCTCAATTTCAAGACACGGGAGAACTTTCTACGGATGTTGTCAGGAAGTGCTAACCAAGTCAAGATGGCGGCCACAATGATGCGATTGAAGCTCTGCCTGGTTTTATGTGCTACGTGTGGCCGCCATTTTGACTGCAGATCCCTCTGGGACTTCCTGTCCTAACCCAATTGTAAATGAACCCCATTGGAACAGAATCCTATTTCTTAATGCAAACCCTTACAGAACAAAAAGGAATGATTCATGTTAGTCCATAAGTACGAACATTAATGTGACGGTTCTAATAAGGATACTCTTTGTTCTCTAATTTTGTAAATCTGACTTCTAAGGATAGCAATGAATAGATTATGCAAAGTATGAAGTTTGACTCTGGTTTTTATTCAAAAGATGCATTTCTGTGAGATGAGTTATTTAAAAGGCCTTGTTGCAGTTAAATGTTATTATGTGTTGTTGTGTATGTCTCTGTCTTCCATTTTTAATATTTAAAATTGTATCAGTGTGAATTTAGCTTTCATGTTTACTTCCCTAATGATATTTGCTCACTGTACCAGTATCTGTACTCCGTACCCCTATATGTCATAAGAGCCAGTTACATCTTTTGAATGTCATAAAACATGTACCCGAAATCTGCTTTTTGGGGATTTTATCTGATGTGAATCAATATCTGGTGTAATGTATTAAACTCTAGTAGCAAGAATGCTGATTTGGTCACAGAAGAGATACAGGGTCTGCCCAGAGGATTTACAGCCTCCTTCCAGCCTTAAACTCGCTGGTCAGAAAGTAAGTTCCACTAAAATCCGTGGGTCATGCTTCCAAACAAATGGGCTTAAAAATGAACACTGATTTTCATATGTCTTGCAACTGAGAGGCAGCAGTGAATAATCCCAAAGAATCTGACCACAGAGAGCTGAACTAAATGGCCTAGCCTTACACCCTGGTTATACCAAATAAAACTCAGAAGCAAGGGGAAGAGGCTAACTAAAACTTTAAACTGAAGTACGGTCAAAATGTGTAAATGATTAGTTGCTTTTTATTTGAGGTTTTTAGGATCATACAGTTCAGGACAAAACTCTAAATGCAGGATAGGGGTCAGAATAAAGAAGCCGCAAGCTTGAATGAGAGAGCACCAAACTACTTGAATGAGATAGCTGACTGATCATCTGAGCCCAGTTCAGGTGTGACTTTTAAAGCCATAAACACTTGAAAGTCCTTATCCTAATCAGTGTTCCATCTACTATCTAATCTAAGATTTGCAGATGGCCCTCTGGAAAGATGGCATACCAAATGGCATACCAATTAAATAAGCCGACTTTTGGAAGCGGGTGAAAGTATTCTTATTACATCAGGTTTTGATAATTTGATCCCCCATCCCGAAGCTGTCTTTATTTCTTTTATTGTGTAAACCAGTTTTAAATTATTTTTTTTTCCTAAACTGGTAAACACTTTGGCAGAGATTCCCTTGAACAAGGTATTCTTGGTAAACAACAGGTGTGTCATTGGGAAGCTATGAGGATGAACCTGATCAGAATTGCTAAGGACATTATTCATCCT